GTGTTGTCTGTGATGTATGAGAGTAGGAGAGTAGTTCCCAGATGTATGAGAGAAGTTCCCAGCGTATTAACCGACTCCTGCTTTTTTTTCATTGGTTGCTAGAAATCGCACTAGGTGGCGCAAGTTACCGCCCGATTACAAGAGTTGGCTTGAGCTATTTATCCATGTAAGTTCAATATTCGCTTTTTTTTGTTTTTGTTTTTGTCTAGCGGTTTTGTCGTAGCTGCCGACGCCACCGACCGCCGACGATGCACGTGGGTACCTTTGCACGTATACCTACGTCCGCCGCTCGGAGACTGTTTACTGTGCATAAAAGACATCGAACGAGAACGAACGCGTCCTGTATGCTTTCAGTTCGGCTGAAAGGCGCGGCTGGCTGGGCTCGTCCCTCGCCTGTTCTCGGCTGCTGGCCGCCATGTTTCATAAGGAACACGTTGAACCGTGCTTCTCGGAAGGCAAACACGGTGTAGCGTGTTAACTTTACACAGCACCTCATGTGTAGACGAAAAACACAGATGGCTCCGTGTAAAACGAACACGTTTCGACGTGTCCGCTATGGGACAACGGTTTACACGTCTGGGCGTGTTATTTTTGCTAAAAGTGTACCCTCTTGACCTGTAACTTACTAGAGACACAGCATTTTGTTTTCTACTTATTAATGCGTCAGAATCATAATGCTCGTTTTCAGGAAAACCCGGCGGTGTCTTTCGTTTGTCAGCGCGGGGGAGAGAAGTAGAAGGTGACGCCTGCGACGCTCCATTGGTTCGAACCGCTGACTTTAGCAAGCGTCGACCTCTTCTTCTCTCCACGGCGCTAACAAACTGAAAAAAAAAACCTCCGGATTTTCGTAAAAACTAGCCCTTTCATTTTCATCAAAGTGACGCTTACAGCTGGCACGGAGCCAGATAGGAGGAGGCGCCGTGGTGCGGTAGGATGCGGGTGTACTCAGTTGCCGCTCTGCCGTCGCCGGTTGTTCTTCGCTCTGGGTTTCCCTTGTAGCGATGCGTGGGCTGTGACGTGTGTGTGTCGTTAAAACGATGGATGCGGTTCCCTCTACGAGCGATATGGATGACCATATTGAAGGGCGTCGACGTACTCTGACAGGCAGAGTACAGAAAAGAGGTGATAAAAATTACAGCAAGATCCGTTGGTGCATTCTCAGAAAATGCCTCAGCACGACTCTTGGGAAACGCTGACATTGACCCAGCATCGAGGCCAAAAGAAGGCAGCAAAAAATAAAGGAAGCAAAAGATAGGGCTAAAACAGAAAGGTGAAGGGGTGGGCGTTAGCGATCCCCAAAGCGGGACGTGTGCGGCGTTTCCCAAGGGTCATGCTGACGCATTCCTTATGAATCCACCTATGAATATTTCTGGAATTTTTTTTAAAGCGAAAGCACCCATGGAGCGAAGCCGGCGTTATCTGATGGCTGTTGCAGCGAAAAACGGCACCTAAATATCCATTGACTGAACAAAACGGCTCCTAAATTTCCACTTGCTGAGCGAAACGGAATGTAAATTCCCATCGGTTGCAAAGCGGACTTGCCCCAGAAAAATTAAAACACAAAGAAAAGCGCAGCAACGCAGATGCCTCGTTACGGAAGCCAGCGGGGCGCTCAAGGCCGAAGCGGACGCACCTCAGAAATAAAACACAAAGAAAAGCACAGCAACACAGATACTTCGTCACGGAAGGCGTCGTGAAGCCGGCGGGATTCGCCGCGCCTGCGCAGTGGGGGTGCGTGATGTCACCGCCGGAGCGCCGCGTAAAGAAGGAAGACGTGGCGCGCTGCTTGTTGAAATGCGCTGCGTGTAGTAATGCTTGCGCATTCCTACATGTAAGCAGTCTTGAGTACATTTGCCGAATTTTTTGTTTTAATGTTATGGCACCGGCTGAGCGGCATCAAGTGGACGGCACGCGATTTCTTTTTCGCGTTCACTTTTATAGGGTGGTCGTGGCGGTGAACTAAATGTTAGGCTATCTCCCAAACTATGTGCCGAGTTAGAAAATGTGCAGACTCGAGAGCGTAGATCTGCAATACGCGATTTCCGTAAGAGGGGTTAGGCAATAAAGGCCCTTGCTTGATAGGACTGAAAAAAAAAGGCAACGTACAAGAAAGAAATGGGGAGCGTCTGACCGCTCCTCCAGATGGGTAGAGCCACGCTATCGCACACGCCCCTTCAAAGTCGCCTAATAAAACTTTCTAGATGGAGCAGCTATATATCCGAGCGGGGACCCAGAAACCGAAATTTATCTTTCACAAAATTGCGCATTTATTTTATACGTTCAAACTTCAGTTCCCTTCAAAGTACTTTTCGCCTGACGTGATACACTTGTCGAGACGGTTTTTCCAATGTTCAAGACAGCCTTTAAACTTTTCCATCTCGACACTTCACCTTTCCCACATGGGCAAACTGTTTCCCAGTAAACACTTTTTTCACCCGGAAAAAAAAAAAAAAAAGTCGCATGGGGCGAGGTTGGATAAATAGTGAGGTTGGGGTACTCGGGGGTCATACCATTTTCGGTCAAAAACTGATGAACACTCAGCGCGGGTGGGGGTGCTGTCACGGTGGACAAACCAGTATCGTGTTTTGCTACAACTCTAAACGCTTCTCCACATTTGAAAACTTCCAGATACAAGCCTCGGTTGGCCGTTTGACCCGGAGGAAGAAATTCCTAGTGCACAATCTCTATCCCGTCAAAGAAACAGTTGAGTATTGTTTTCACGTTAGTAATCGCTTCCCGTGCTTTCTTGTGTGGTGGGAAGTTGGCAGTTTTCCATTGACTGGATTAATATAGCGTTTTGGTTTCGTAGCTGTAGCACCAAGACTCACCTCCAAAAATGACACTGCTAAAAAGAAAAAAAAAAAAAAAATCAGGTTCATTCTTTAACTGGCCGTTCAACGCGCAGCACGCAGCCAAGCGATTGCCGTATTGTTCAGGTGTGAGCGAGCGAGGCACGATTTTTTCTGCATATCGTTTCGCACACCCTCCGATAAAATTCGGTGGGTTATCGAAGATGGCTTGACGAATTCTTGACACAGTTTCTTCAATTCAGCTAAAAAAAGGACGCCAGGAGAGAGTTTGATTGTCAAAAAAAATTTGGTCTCGTTGAAAATGGAAATGCCATTCGTAAACTTGTGTTTTACTCAGAGCAGCTTACTGGTAAACGATGACTCTCTTTAGCAGAACAACCGTTTCCGCCGCAGTTTTCCTGAACAGGAAACAAAATTTCACTACGGCACGTGGTTCGTATAAATCAGCCATCACGAAGTGGGCAAACGCATCGAAAAAGCTCCAAAAATAATGAACGGAAGCCGAACGCATGGTTTTTCAAAAACGCCGACTGCTACACTGATGCGGACAATTCCCTAGAAAACGCATCTTGGGGGGGGGGGGGGGGGGGGGGGGGGGATGTATTACAAGGAGCCCGCCGTCCATGAAATAATTTTGGTTACTCTGTGTTTTCCGAAGAGAAGAGAGAGAGAGAGAGAGAGGTAAAATGATCTTTCGGAAGTACCACTCGAACACGCGAAACAAGCCCACAGTCATGCTTGCAATTCACGCCTCCGTTCAAAGGTGAGCGAAAATTCGGGGGATGCGTGCTCGTTGGACCAGTCTTACGTCTATCTTTCGCCACGCGCGGAGAGCGAGCCCGGACGACGAAAGGCAGACGGTTAATCGGTCCGGCGTGCGCGTAGCTCCCACTGCGCTGTCAGCTTCGGAGTGAACAGGAGGTCGAAACATAGCGGGCTCTTTGTCCCAGCTTGTTCTCCGCCGAGCTCAGTGTTTACCTAACGTCGGGCCCGTAAACGAGACTATTTGCGTCAACTTCCTCGATCGAGCCCGGGGCACATATTGGGCACGTGCGATGCGTCGGGGTTCGGCTTTAACTTGTGTTCTATCGGGGCTTCGTCGAATCAACGCGAGTTCCAGCCGAACACTTACGCAGCGTCCGGTTGCTTCAGCCGAGCGCTGCGTCAGGAACACACACTTCGTGTTATTGTTGTCCCCATGGCTTCAGCTCTCAACGTAAAGCGACGGTTGAACCTTCTCCTAGAGAGCCTAGATGTCAGAGAGGGATCAACCCGAATCACGAACCGCGTTCGCAATGTAATGCCGGACGCCTCCAGAGCAGACTGGTCGTTAGTGCGCATGCGTTGCGTGCCGCGTGGTGAAGAAGAAAGCTGGTGGAGAAGCAGGGACGCTTGCGGACGACAACCGCTCTGGTAACCTTCTCGCAGATCATATTGCAGGCGGGGCCCAAAAACTACGTGACCCGACATCGAGTAGTTGGAAACACTCTAAGATCTAGGCACATTTCTCCTCTCCAATGACAAACGCGGCGTATTTTCATCGTGTATTTTCTTCTTTTGGTGAACGATCAGCTTGAACTTGCAGAAACGCACTAAAAAGGACGGAACAGGATAAAACAGATGACTAAAAACTTCGCATAAACATACCTATGCGTAATCGTCTTCTTCGCAATATACTGCAAACGACCTAATTTTCGCGAACTTCGCGAATCAACGCGAAAAATAGGTCCCGCGAACCATTCCGGTAAAACGTAAACACATTGAAATCCAAATTGAGATCCCAACGCGTCGCAAAAATTAAAACCCGCAAATCGCGAAATATTGAGGCCGCGAAAAATAAGCCATTAACAGGATACTATATTGACAATGTGCAGATCGAGAAAAAAAAGCAAAAAAAGTTATGCGCACTGTTCACGCGTTCCGCGAAGTAGTACTTACAAGATTTGGCTGTCGCGGGAAGAAACAATGCTATTGGCGTTTGACACGTCTAGGTCTTGATAAAATAACGTATATAGCTAATCTCAAAAGCACCAAGATATATCTTAATTCAGCCCACACACAAAAGGGAATGAGTAAAGTTCAAAAAGGGAATGAGTAAAGTTCAAAAAGGGAATGAGTAAAGTTAAAGGCGGACTTGTTTTTACTGCGGTTCACGAGCTGAATATGGTTCAAAGCAAGCGTGTAACGTACCCTCTTCCACTGGAAAGCGCCGGGATGGAGCGACAGGTAAGTGGCCAGGTAGGTTCCCGCAAGCAGCACGCCTGCCACCACGCTCTCCTGCATCCTGACGGGCACCAGGGTGTAGGCCGCGTACACCAGAAACAGCGCGCACCACAGGTCCGACACCGAGGCCCTGTCGCGGGCCCCGGGGTCCAGCACTCCGAGCAGCAGCACGAGCGCCACGAAGGACACGAGCACCAGGTAGCTGCACACGAGCAGGTGCATCTGGCGGAAGAAGGTCTGCAGCGTGGCGTACACCAGGGCCAGGTAGAAGACGCACAGGGCGCCGAACACGGCCGCGCGCAGCACGGGGCTCTGCCTCTGGCTGAGCACAAAGTCCACGAAGGCGGCCGTCACGCACAGGCCCGCCATGACGCCCAGCAGGGCGGTCAGGCTGCGCCGGTTCAGGTGGAGGAAGTAGCGCTGGTACAGGGAGTCGATGTCGTTGCGGTGCACGTGCCGGTACCAGCAGAAGTAGTAGCAGGACGTGCAGCAGTCCACCGTGGTAGTGGTCGTCTTGGTCGTCTCCACGTACTCCCAGGTCTCCTTGGCGGCGGAGTCGCTCGAGTCGGACGCCCCGCCGCCAGCGCCGCCACCGCCGCCGCCACCGGAGGCCACAGCCATCTTGGTCCAGATGACGTGCGGTCTGCGCGGGGAGAAGAGATCAAGGCAGGCTGAGTACATGCCTTAAAGACTGCCGAAACAGGACACAAAAAAAAAATGCCGTGTACAAAAAAAAAAAAAAAAGAACAAAAGAAAAGGAGCGTGCACGCATTTTAAGAAACGTGGAAGCTGCGTCGCGCGCGTCAGGTTTCACTGAGGACAGCAAACATGTAAGCAGCACGGCTTTATTCCTCGCATCTTCGCTGTCGTCTTCTCACGTTTCTCTTGACGACAGCCAGCAGAGCCTGTGAGTGGCTGTCCGGATCCACGTGATGAGCACGATCTAAACCTCTGTCGAAGAACGCAAGCGAAGGGTAAGCCTTTCTACCCAACAAGTGAAAAAAAAAGAAAAACAGATAGAAGTTTTAATGCGGACTGGAACCGGAAGAAAGCCTAAAGCATCCACTTCAGGTGCAACAAATGCCGTGCACAGCATCTGCTGTGTTCTCTTTGTACAGCCCTTTACGCGATGTACCCCTTTGCAACGCTTAAAGACCAGGATAAAATGCCAAATCACTGGGCGGTAGACGCATGTGCAGAGTCTAATGTTCTCCATAAGAGATTCTCAGAACGCATTCCACAGTCCAGCACACAATGACGGCAGCGCGAAGAAGGCGAGAAATGGTTTATAGCCTTTAGGTGGGCACCGCTAAATCGAATTAAAAGAGGACTCACACGACGAACGACAGGAACCTTCTTCAACTGTCACTCCAACTGCACGCATGCGCATTTGAAGCGTCTAACTGCGCATGCGCGCTTGAAGCTTACCAAATGCCGGAAAATGATGGAACGAACCTCATGATGCAACAAACGAAAAGCTTCCTCATAGCCAGGTGACCCCGTTTCACGTCTACACGTTGCCTCGAACAGTGCTTACACTGCAGTATCGCGCGTGCTAGTGCCCGCGCTCGGACGCTATATTTGAATGCGCTGATTAGAGCGCATGCTCAAAACCAGCTCAGATTAATATGATGCTAAAACCGGCAATCTTCGGAATGCACGTTAAAAAAAAGAACCCTTGAAGCTTGCCGTCAGCAGGCGCTCAGCAGTGGCGTACACAGCTATGGCCGCCAGGCTATGTTCCCTATATTCAGAATTGCCATGTGTGAAAGTTCTGGCTCTGTGTACTCGATAGCACATTTGGCGCACTTGCAATAACAAAGCTTGGGCAGAGCAACAAAGACGTTAAACTTTTTCCAGAATGTTCTGCCTTGGACTAAACTTGTTTATGTTTCCGACAAAAGTTGGACGGATGAACGCGCGGCTCGCCTCGAGGACGGCAGTGTTTTCGATGACGCGATTAACCCAAAACTAGCTTAGAAATGTCTTATAGTAGGCAATAAAATCGAAAATGTTTGAACTGCCTACGCTTCGTCGAAATAGCAGGGTATGGAGATACGGCTGTTCAAGTCACATGTAAAAAACTCAGATATGCTAAATTACTCAGCAGAGGCGACATGACTAGCTTAATGCGATTTAAAGGGGTACTCCACCAGTTTCTTCATTGTCTCCGATTTGCTTGAAATTTTGCTAAACTAACCAACAAACATTGCTAAAATAGTATCCCAAATAATAGGTCAAATATTGTTTTTTCGCGAAGTTTTTGAATTTACAGTTTTGGTCTTCACCATGTTTTTCAAACTGAAAGTCTCCACTGGCAACAACAACAAAGTGACGTCAGTGGAAGGCAGGGGTTAACTTTTTGGACTACAGCAGTTGTTCACAACGGATTTGAAGCAGTTTCTTGGTGTCAAATGAGGGCTTTGGAAGCTCGCTCCCGTATCCGCGCTCCAGCACGGAACAAATGATTGGCATATTCTATTTTTAGACTACTTGCTCGACTGGCAAGCCTGCCTGCCACTGACGTCACGGCACTGAAAAGTGCGCAAATATTTGAATATTGGTTTTCGCACCATTTTCATTTGCCGATTTCACAATACCTATTATGAATTTCGCGATGCTAAATAGCATACCGGAAAGGCTAAAGGCCGGGGAGTCAGAAAATATAGTCAGTTGAGGTAGCTCAAAAAATCGGTGGAGTACCCCTTTAAGCGTGTTTGTTTTAGAGCGCAGCTCTTAGGGGCCCGTTTCCGGCTTGAGCGGCGTCGCCGTCGGCGTCGCCGTCGGCGTCGCCGTCGCCGTCGCCGTCGGCGTCGGCGTAACCGCGCGGTGCATCATGGGAAATGTCCCATAATGCACCGCGCGAGCCCCCCACCAAGGTCACGTGACCTCGTGGGGGGTCACGTGACCCCCGAAGTCACGTGACTCCCCTGAGGTCACGTGGCCCCCTCCTCGATGTCACGTGACCCCCGCCGATGTCGCGTGACCCCCCGATGACGTCATCGTCACTGATGACATCACCGGCATCCACATCGTCATCGTCATCATCACTGATGACGTCACCGGCATCCACATCGTCATCGTCATCATCACTGATGACGTCACCGGCATCCACATCGTCATCGTCATCACTGATGACGTCACCGGCATCCGTATCGTCATCGTCATCATCACTGATGACGTCACCGGCATCCACATCGTCATCGTCATCATCACTGATGACGTCACCGGCATCCACATCGTCATCGTCATCATCACTGATGACGTCACCGGCATCCGCATCGTCATCATCACTGATGACGTCACCGGCATCCACATCGTCATCGTCATCATCACTGATGACGTCACCGGCATCCACATCGTCATCGTCATCATCACTGATGACGTCACCGGCATCCACATCGTCATCGTCATCATCACTGATGACGTCACCGACATCCGCATTGTCATCATCATCACTGATGACGTCATCAGTGACGTCACTGATGTCGTCGCCGGCATCTGCATCGTCATCGTCATCATCACTGATGACGTCATCAGCGACGTCACTGATGACGTCACCGACATTCGCATCGTCATCGTCATCATCACTGGTGAAGTCATCAGTTACGTCACTAATGACGTCATCGGTACCCGCATCGTCATCACTGATGACGTCACCGGCATCCGCATCGTCATCGTCATCATCACTGATGACGTCACCGGCATCCACATCGTCATCGGCATCATCACTGATGACGTCACCGGCATCCACATCGTCATCGTCATCATCACTGATGACGTCACCGGCATCCACATCGTCATCGTCATCATCACTGATGACGTCACCGGCATCCACATCGTCATCGTCATCATCACTGATGACGTCACCGGCATCCACATCGTCATCGTCATCATCACTGATGACGTCACCGGCATCCACATCGTCATCGTCATCATCAGTGATGACGTCACCGACATCCGCATTGTCATCGTCATCATCACTGATGACGTCATCAGTGACGTCACTGATGTCGTCACCGGCATCCGCATCGTCATCGTCATCATCACTGATGACGTCATCAGCGACGTCACTGATGACGTCACCGACATTCGCATCGTCATCGTCATCATCACTGGTGAAGTCATCAGTGACATCACTAATGACGTCATCGGTACCCGCATCGTCATCGTCACTGATGACGTCATCAGTGACGTCAGTGATGACATCATCGGCATTGGGGGTCACGTGACCCCCAAGGTAACGTGACCCCCCCCCCTGGTTAGTTTAACCCCCCCCCCCCAGTGCCCTTCCCTCCTCCTCCTCAAGAGCTGCGCTCTAATTCGGCGTTACAGGGAGTTGTAAGCGGCTTTCATTTTTTTAATATAAAACGAAAGCACGGAAGTGACAAAATAAATCTGGCACGGCAGGTTCACGTTTCTACAACAAATTGCGTGCATACATGTTTAAAGAACTGTGGCAGTGGCCGCTTAAAAATGTTGCCCAAATATGATTTTATGCAAAACGTTATACGGATAGTAACGGCCGTAAATTGTTAAATCAAATCCCGATAATGAAAGTAGAAAGCTTAGTTGTTAAAAACACTCCCAGTTAATTGCGTTCAGAAACTGCTGCATTGCGTTTACAATAAAGGTAAACAACTATTTAAAATCGCGAGTTAAAAAAAATAAGAGAGAACATGATTAATCACGTCATTGGCTATGTACACATGTCCGATAAATCAAAAGCGACGCCTAAACTAAAAGGCGCCACGACTCAAGCGCTTATTATAAACTTCACACACCCACAAGCTGCCTTTTCTTTTTTTGCCAGCAACAGGAGTTTATGAAGCAGCATAACGTTCAGAAGGTCTTAGAAGGCTCGAAATGTTTCCACTTTTTTTTTTTTTAAATTTCTTTTATGCATCGCGTGTGACTCCCCACGACTCAAATACAAACAACGCAGAAAACACGCGCAAATTATCGCAAACGCACACACAACCTCGCAGGCGGACACATCCGAGGGAAGGCCTACACGGAAGGTGTCCGCACAACACCGAAAGAAGAAGCCGTGGCCACCCTCGGAAAGAAGGGCGATAATGAAGACCTTCCGCAATAGACTGGGCTACGAACCCCGCTCTAGAGTCTTGTCACTTCCAGACGATTCTGCACCCCCGCCCCCCCCCCCCTTCCCCCCGCTCTTGTCCTTCCTGCTCTAAATGGTCGTGTACTACGAACTCTTCCTCCCGTTTGATAACGGCCGGTGATGTCTCGGTAATACGTACACCTCCGTTGCCCCCTACAAAACCGTCAGATTTTGTAAATTGCCCGTAAGAACGAGGCAAAAAAAAAAAAAATGCATCTATTGACTTAGCTCGCCCCCGGAAACTTTGGCTACATAGCGAGATATTCATATGAGAGTGTTTTAAAATAGAGGGCCCCGAGGCTTTGGGTCACCCAAGAAGCTTGAAGCCCCCTATTTTAAAACTGTCTTATTCACGGGGTTCCTATCAAAGTTACACGACTGTAGCGGCAACAGCTCCCCGTATAAAACGAACGTTTCTTTCTTCTATTCGTTTTTGTTGGCAACGCCGGAAGACGTGTTATTAGTTCCTCCTTCGGTTTAAGTGACACCTAGAAAAAACAGAATGTGTCCACTCGCGA